TCTCCAGCCTGTCCAGATCTCGCTGGATGGTTGCAGGGCCTTTTTGCCTGGGGGTGCCTCGCTGGGCCGTGCAAAAAAGTTGGCTCCCGGTTGTGTGTGGGTTGTTGGGATGAGGGTAACGGCCCCGCTGTGGGTTCTCTCTGCAGCCGACACCGGTTATCCTGTTGGGGACGGACACCTCGCAGGGCATCCCCCAGCTCGTCAGCAACATCAATGCCTGCCAGGTCATCGCCGAAGCTGTGCGCACCACCCTGGGGCCTCGGGGCATGGACAAGCTCATTGTGGACGATCGGGGTGAGCACTGGGCCTGTCAAAACGTCACTCAAATCATCTCCAAGCGCACACATTTATTCATCTTTTCATATAACTGAAGCATTTGGAGATGCAGGCTTCAACTTCCTCATCTCATACTGAACTGATCTCATCCCAGAGGGTCAGCTTCTGTCTCAGTGCTCAGTTTAACACCTTGGCTTTGTTGAGGAGAAGATAATTGTTACTTGGTTGATTTTTTTAGTGTGATTTAGTGATGAGGTTCCTCCCTCACACCTCTGAAAAGACTTGAACGAAGTCACCAAACAAATAATGTTGTTTGTGGTGGGTTTTTTTATTGCTGGTGCTGAAGGGCAGGGTGGAAGGTCTTAGGATTATCTTTAAATAGAAATAGAAGCAAATAAGAACTGTGGTAACTTCTATTAAAAAGCATAATTGGGTTTAAATTTAATAACTGCTATAATTGATTTCTAGTCTCTTTCTTCACATAAATGTTAGGCTAAAATACCTGAGGTTTTTTGTATGGGAAGGTATCAAGAAGGAAGAGGGACATGAATTTAAAGCCTCTTTTAGTTGATGTGAAGAGTTGTGCACTCACTAAATTCACTTAATCTGCTCCAAAAATGGCCTAGAAAGGAGCTGTTACTATGAAGTAGAAGCACCTGCTGAGACGCCTCTGTGAAACAGCAGCTCTGGGCTCCCCTCTCTGTGGGGGTGACCCCCTCACTTTCCTTTTCAGCCAGTTTTGTGTATCTGACTGTAGGACTGTATTAAAATAACATGGTAATCACATTTCAAATCACAAAGGGGGAAAAAAGCCCAGTAATTCGGCTGAAGAAAAATGACTTTGAAGTGGAAATTTGGGATGAGAGCCTGTAGGTGTTGACTTCCCTCTCTTCATCGATCCCAGGCAAAGCCACTGTCTCCAATGATGGTGCCACCATCCTGAAGCTCCTCGATGTCGTCCATCCGGCCGCCAAGACCTTGGTGGACATCGCCAAATCTCAAGATGCGGAGGTAGGGGGGTGGCCTGGCCGCAGTGGGAAGCATCTGGCATTTGGTCTGGTTTCTTTATTGGCAAGTTTCAAACATTTCACGCTGTTTCAGCCAGATCTGATGGGGGGTTGGAAATTTCAACGATGCAAAGTTCACATTTCATGAACATGGGTGGTTGGGAAGTGAAACTTCACCCTCAAATCACAGAATCCCAGAATCCCAGACCGTTAGGGATTGGAAGGGACCTCCAAAGCTCATCCAGTCCAATCCCCCTGCCGGAGCAGGAACACCCAGATGAGGTTACACAGGAAGGCGTCCAGGCGGGTTTTGAATGTCTGCAGAGAAGGAGACTCCACAACCTCTCTGGGCAGCCTGGGCCAGTGCTCTTGTCCCCCTCACTGAGAAGAAGTTTCTTCTCCAATTTCAGTGGAACCTCCTGTGTTCCAGTTTGTGTCCGTTACCCCTTGTCCTATCATTGTTTGTCACCGAGAAGAGCCTGGCTCCATCCTCGTGACACTCACCCTTTCAATATTTCTAACCATGAATGAGGTCTCCCCTCAGTCTCCTCTTCTGCAAACTAAAGAGCCCCAGCTCCCTCAGCCGCTCCTCAGAAGGGAGATGCTCCACTCCCTTGATCATCTTTGTAGCCCTACGCTGGACTCTCTCCAGCAGTTCCCGTCCTTCTTGAACTGAGGGGGATGTAGTGTGATCCCAGTGCTTCTTAACCACTAAAGAATCCAGCCACAAATCTGTGAGCAGAGAAAATGATCAAATGTGATATCCTATGGCAGCTCTTGTGTGGTTTGGAAGCTGCTGTCGCAGCGTGTGGATGACACAAAGTGTTTCCTCTCCGTGCAGGTTGGTGATGGTACCACGTCCGTAACTCTGCTCGCCGCCGAGTTCCTGAAACAAGTGAAGCCCTACGTGGAGGAAGGTCTCCATCCTCAGATCATCATCCGTGCCTTCCGCACAGCGACGCAGCTGGTAAGGCAGCGCTGCTCGAGGGAGGCTGCTGCTGCAGCGCTGAGGGGTGAATTGAGCTCCACTGGAGCATCTGGAGTCAGAATTTCTGAGCCAGAGAGGAAAAATAACGCATTTCCAGGCAAAATTCAGTAATGCATGGGCGTGAGGAGTGACAGTAGTGATCTCATGATGTCTTAGTGCAAATAGGAGCTACCTTTTCTGCTGTCAGCATGCTGTTATTACCAGCTAGTAACTCTTGAGGGCTTTGTCTTCCTTTCTTTTTCCTCCAAGGAAGAATAAATAAGTGGGAAAATTCTAATTTCCCGTTCTTATAATTGCTGCTACTCTTTGGTAAACCTTACATCTTGTGAAGCACATCAGTCTCGTTAACCTGAACCTTCTCTGGAGGTTAAATCCCTCAGTAGCTCTTTGGTTCCCCAGATCTCTGCTGAAAGCAGTGGAGCTGCTCTGAGCCTCTTCCTGATCCTCTTAAATTTATGTTGGCATATTGGAATTACTGGGCTGGAAGGGTTGGAACGGCTTAAACGCTTGAAACTTCAGTGATGCTGAAGTAGGAAATAAAAGGTAACATAAAATACAGAGAGAAATGTTGGAGATCTCAGCTTGTGAGCATGAATCATTAATCCAGCTGTTGGCTTGCGTCCTGACAGGCTGTAAACAAGATCAAAGACATCGCTGTGACGGTGAAGAAGGAAGACAAAGAGTAAGTTTCCCTTTCAGATGACCTGGTTGTGTAGTTGTGAGGGTGTTTCTGGCTTCTGCTGTGGCGCTGGCTGAGGTCTTGAGGTCGAGCTGAACACCTGCAGCCCCACACTGGGTTATTCTCAAGTTTTTCGGAGTTCCCTGCTCCTCTGGGGAAGATGCCGTGCTCTCACTTGGGCTGAGGGGAAGTATATAGGCCAGTGTCTTCCAGCACACACGGAGGAAGCCATGTACCAAAATAAGTGGCCTGATTTCTTTTTTCTAGTGGAGACTCGCAGCTTTTCCTGTAATCAGTGGCAGCGTTAAATGCTCGGCACTTCTCTGAAAATCAGCTCACTTTTTAGTTGTTGAACACATGAAGTTAGCTAGCAGTAAATATATCTCTTCAGCTGAGGTGAGAGCACTGGAGTTCACCTTCTCCCTGCATTTTAAGCTCTTCTCTTAATCTGACGTTACAAATACCTGCAGTAAAAGTTTAAGTTAAACTGTGTAACTGTCTTAAATAAGTGAGTTAAATAATGAGCTGTATCCTTCCTGCTGTCCTGTGGTGAGAAATTCATCAGCTCTCATGGTGAGCAGTAACGAGGGTGATAGAGCCTGGGAGTTGGAGCTGTATTTCTTGTATCATCCGCTCCATTCCGACATACGTTACCTGGGTTAATGCTTTATGGAGAGTGTACCACCTTTAGATGGCTTAAAAAGACTTCTGACTGCCTTTGGGTGAAGGAGAGGGTGCTGAGTCCTGCTGTTTTGCTCAGACCTTTGGTGTCTGAAACCCAAGTGACCTGCTCAGTGCAGGTCTGGTCCTTGAGCTCTAAAAGGGGAATTGTACTTGGACATCTATGTGCCTTGCTTTCCCCATTGATAGAAGGGAATTGATCTTTACCTCCATCAGAGTGGATTAATGATACCATGCACGCTGTTTTCTGAGCTTGTGAAAAGAGTAGGGAAGTGAACCAGACCTTGCTTGTTTTTGCAGCGAGCAGAGAAGCCTCCTGGAGAAGTGTGCGGCCACAGCCCTGAGCTCCAAGCTGATCTCCCAGAGCAAGGAGTTCTTCTCCAAGATGGTCGTAGACGCCGTCATGATGCTGGATGACTTGTTACAACTCAAAATGATTGGAATAAAGAAGGTGCAAGGAGGTGCTCTGGAAGTAAGTTGTGTCCTGAAAGGATCAGATATGGCAATCACAGCTCCGTTGATGGGTTGACTCTAGCAGAAATGCCTGTTCAGAAACTGCCAAAGCGAAACAAAGCTGTTGATGTGAGGAAAAATCTTAGCAAGGAGGGCTGGATTTCTCTTCTGTAGGTAGAGAAGTTGTATTTTTGCACTCTCCTGCCTGTATCCTGTTGCTTGGGACCCTTCTGCTGAAAAGTGAAGCCCACCACAGTCTCTGAATTAGTATTCTGCAGCTGTTACTGGCTGTAAACACTCTGCATCGGCGTTTTCATTGAGAAGAGGCATAATTACGCCATTATCTTGCCCAGACAACTAATGTAGTGAATTAAGAACGATTCAGCATCTGTTTTTGTGGTGTCTGAGCCTGCTGGTATTCCGAGGCTTGCAGAAATTGGTCCCTGGGGGTAGGCTGGCATCTCCTGTTCTGGATAGAAGTGCCTACTCCATATTCTTTAGCCCTTGTATTCTGCTGTCGGGCTCCTTGGAGACCTGTATGAGGATGGGGCAAATAATCTAACATGCTGCTTTTCAGAGTTGGCTTCTGAGAGATCCTGGGTCATGGCACACTGTCAGTCAGAGCAGAGAAGGTCCATGCTTGTCTTAGGGAGGTGGTTGAGCAGAGCTAAGTCTGCAGTGTGGGGTTAGATCCTCCTGGAGCAGGAGGTTTAGATGCTGATTGCTCTCCCAGCCATGAAGTTCCCTTCAGGGGGCAGTGTTGGGCAGGGCAGTCTTGCAAAGCAATGTTGGAGGTGGTGGTGAAGCTTGGAAAAACCAAACCAGGGCAGAAACCCCTCCCTGAGCGTGGGGCTGTGGATGGCAAGTTTCCATCTTCAAAGGGAAGGAATGGGAAAGACATCAGAGAGAGAACAGATTGCTCCATCCCTTGATCTTTGTATTGCGTACGGCATCTTTTGCTGCAGTGTCTTGAGGGGCGGAAGGGAAGTGAGAGGAGCTGGTTTTGTGAACAGAGGGAAGACAATGTTTGCTGCTTATTTTCTCTAGAAGTAGGTTAATGAAAGGAGGCAGCTGTTGGTGAGCGCTTCGTAAATGAGGACTCTGAAAGCAGGGAGTCTCCTGTGGGGAGTTATTAACCCTGGTGGGGAAACCTCGGGAGGCTGAGCCTAACACAAATCCCTGTCTTCAAGGACTCGCAGCTGGTGGCCGGAGTTGCCTTCAAGAAGACGTTTTCTTACGCTGGCTTTGAAATGCAGCCCAAGAAGTATCAGTCTCCCAAAATTGCTTTGCTGAACGTGGAGCTGGAGCTCAAAGCTGAGAAGGACAACGCTGAAGTCAGAGTAAACACAGTGGAGGTAAGAGCCGAAAGCGGAGCCTGTCCTGCTTCCTTGTGCCCGTGAGACGTGGTGGCTTCTTGAGAGCCAGTGGGATGAGCGGGATTTCCTTCTGCCCATCCTTCCCCACAAAAACAGCGGGTGGTTTGTGCTGCCCTGTTTGGGAGAAGGGGGAGGCAGACTCTGAATTGCAGCAGGTTTAGGGCATGGTTCTGCTCAGTCCTTGTGCCTCAGCTGCGTGGTGTCTTCTTTACACCTTAAACTTAATGAGCAGTGCTTTAACTGCTGGAAAAGCCTCTGTGTATTAAAGCAAATGAGGTGGCAATTTGGACAGTGGTTTTCTTTCCACCTTGTTTAAATATCTTAACCAAACATGGTTATTTGACGCCTTCTTGGAAGGCACCACAGTGTTGCATACATTTGGTTCCTGCATAATTGTGGTGTCTGAAGATCTCTGGGTGCTTTGTTTTTGGGTTCTTGGCCCCACTGTGCTCTTAGTAATGGCTTCCTTAAAGTTCTCTCTGCCGTGGTGAACACGGTGGTGGTTTCTATTGAGATCTGCAGCTGTGTGTGGTGGTGTGAGCTTTTGTGAGCTCTCCCTGCTGTCTGCCACTGTTTCTACTCGCAGTCAGAGCACAAGAGGCTTGTGAAGCCCTGGGCATGTGGGCAAAGCAAGAGGTTTCTCAGGATCTGTACTTTCCCTCTGCAATAGATACTCTGGAGTCTCTCCACCCCAACACCCATGCACAGTTCTGCAAACCCCTCTCAGATATCAGTATAATCCCTCCTTCTTCCTTCCACGCTCTCTGGAGCTTTCACTGCCTCTGTCAGTTCATCCAGCCCCTTTATCAACTCGGTTCTGCTGCTGGAAACATTTTAGTGACCTAAAATCACCTGTGAGTCTTGGAAAGCGGTTGTGTGCTAGGGCTGCACGGAGCAGCCTCACCGCAGGCGCTGCGGGATGGCGTTTGTGACTCTTTGTAATGTGAGTGAACAAGGAGTAACGGCACCGAGCTGTGCCAAGGGAGGTTCAGGTTAGAGATAAGGAGGAAGTTCTTTACTGAGAGGGTCGTCAGAAGCTGGAACAGGCTGCCCAGGGAGGTGGTGGAGTCACCATCCCTGGATGTGTTTAAGGAGCGGGTAGATGAGGTACTTAAGGATATGGTTTAGTGGGTAGACAGGAACGGTTGGACGTGATGATCTTGGAGGGCTTTTCCAACCGAGCGATTCTGTGAGCACTCATCCCTTTCTCGCTCGTCCCTGCTAGGATTACCAGGCCATCGTGGATGCGGAGTGGAACATCTTGTATGACAAACTGGACAAAATCCACAAGTCAGGAGCCAAAGTCGTCCTGTCCAAACTTCCCATCGGTGACGTGGCTACTCAGTACTTTGCAGACAGGGACATGTTTTGTGCTGGCCGTGTCCCAGAAGAAGATCTCAAGCGAACTATGATGGTGAGCTGCCTTCTTTCTGAATAAAGACCTTTCATTCAGTTTGAACAGTGCCAAGCTGCTCGTTGCCAACACAGGGCAGCAGTTGATGACTGAACGCGCTGTTCCCTGCAAAGATGAAAAATTAAAATTGGCCAGAAAATTAAGCAATGGGTTTATTACTTAAAGTTGCCATATACTGGCAAAGCTGTTCCTTGATGCAGTGAACAACTGCACGCTAATTGCAGCTGCACTGCTATGTTGTTTCTCTGATGTTACAGGATCTGTACGTTGCATTGGTACAGGTTGATTTTCCCCAGTTCTTGCCTGTTTCATCATGAGGTTTTTTTCCTAAGCTTGCTTTGTGTAGCTGCTGAACTCTGCAACCTGTGAGTCAGCACTTTGAAGCAGCAGCATCTTATTTTGCTGTCGAGGAATTTTTTCTCTTGCTAGCCTGCCTAGATGGGAGGAAAGTAGAAGGTTTTTCCTCCCCCCCCTGAATTTGGCCTGCAGGGTGATTTTGCATCAGCAAAAAGGCTGGGCTCTCTCTGCAGAGTGGGAACCTGCTGGGCAGATTTGTCTTGTTTGTCCATGTTGATAATGCTGTGCTTTCTCCCTGTCTGATGCAGGCCTGTGGCGGTTCCATCCAGACGAGTGTCAACGCCCTGTCCGATGATGTGCTGGGCCGATGCGAACTCTTTGAGGAGACTCAGATTGGAGGAGAGAGGTAAATCCACCAGCAGTGAGCACATAGTCGTGTGTGAGCACTCTAATAGTGGTTTGAAGTGTTAGGATCTGAGTGCTGTCGGGTTTGCGCATCTCTCAAGGTGATGGTGCGAAGACAAAGTTCCGTTATTGCTGCTTTTTGTCAGGCTTATGGGGAGCAAGAGTAAGCTTTCATCTAAATCTTACCTCTTTTTATGCTTTTAGAAACATCTATTTGTTCTCCTGTGCCTTGTATTAAGTGTAGTGGTATTCTTTAATTTGTAACTTAAAAGCACCACATTTTGGGGTCGATTGTGGCACTCGACTGATATCCCACAGTGATGCTTTGCTGCCTGGTGCCCTATAATGGGGTTTTTCCTCTCACTAGAGGAGAAATCCCTCTTTGTGGCTGCCTAACGCTGCTGTGTTCCTGCCAGGGGAATGCGAGCGCTGGTTTAGCACAAAGCCCTGGCACAGGCAGGGAGTGGATTTTCCAAGGGCAGCTTGAATTTCACTTGTGTATGGCCTGGCTCTGCTGCTTCTTAGCTGAGCATCTGGTGGGGCACTGCGCAGGCTGAAGTGGCCTCAGTCACACATCTGGCTTGGGAAGAGCTGCTCAGTCCTGTGCTGTGTCAGGGAATCACTGATTTGCTTAGGTTGGAAAAGGCCTCCAAGATCGAGTCCAGCCATAACCTGTCCAGCACTAAACCATGTTCCTAAGCACCTCATCTCCCTGGCTTTTAAATACCACCAGGGATGGGGACTCCACCACTGCCCTGGGCAGCCCCTTCCACTGCTTGACCACTCTTTTAGTGAAGAAATTTTTCCTCATATCCAGCCTCACCCTCCCCTGGCACAACTTGGGGCCTTTTCCTCTCATCCCATCACTTGTACCTGGGGAGCAGAGCCCGACCCTCCCTTGCTACCCCCTCCTATCAGGAGCTGCAGAGGGGATAAGGTCTCCCCTCACCTCCTCTTCTCCACTTGAACCCTCCAGCTCCCTCAGCCGCTCCCCATCATTCGGCTGCTCCAGACCCCTCCCCAGCTCCGTTGCCCTTCTCTGGCCACGCTCCAGCCCCTCAATGTCCTTCTGGGAGTGAGGGGCCCAAAACTGACCCCAGGATTCGAGGGGCGGCCTCAGCAGTGCCCAGCACAGGGCCACTATGACTGCCCTGGTCCTGCTGAGGAATACTGGTGCAAAGCCCGCTCAGCAGCAGCGTTGCTTCTCCGTCACCTTAACCCTGTTCACCCTGTGCCCTTGGCAGGTACAACTTGTTCACAGGCTGCCCGAAGGCAAAGACTTGCACGATAATCCTGCGAGGGGGCGCGGAGCAGTTCATGGAGGAGACAGAGCGGTCCCTGCATGATGCCATCATGATAGTCCGGAGAGCAATCAAGGTAAGGACCAGCACTGGGGTTATCCATCAGACCTGGCACAGCTGTAACTCTTTCTAGAAACCTTTCCACACACCAGCACTTGGCTGAGGTCTCTCGGGAGAGCCTGGGAGCTCTCAGCTCACAGAGCAGAGCATGCAGCCAGGCAGCATCTGATGGATTAACTCAAGTGCTGTCCCTTGGCCAAAGCAGCCTTGTCTCTGCAGTTGCCAGCTGCTTTTCAGGCACGCCTGAGAAGGTGCCTTCTCTTTAGTACAGTCGTAACTCATCCTTGCTGGGTTGCAGTAGGTTCCATAAGCACCATCCTAAAGGGTACACACGATTTTGGGTGCATCAGGTAGATTTGAATAGCAGGGTTGCTTTCACATGTGTGTCAGCACTTAAAGCCACTTGATCCCTTCCTTGGTGACCAATTTGAGGGGTAACTGATCCTTGGCTGTGCTGGTAAGCTGGGAGCACCAGGAGAGGACTTACTGGTCCCATATGATAGGTCCTGCCTAACTCTGGGTGTTTCTGGGTTATGCATAATAACGTGGTAACGTGGTGGGTTCTGGTTAAAAACAGCTTGGAGGCTGAGCGCCCTGAGGGGATGGGAAGAAACGCGTCAGGTTTTTTTGGAAGTGTTTTTGCTTTGAGAAAGAACATCCTGATCTCCCCACTGAAACAAATAGGGGGGAAAAAATAGCAGAACTTGGCTGCCAAGTGCTGCTGCGGAGATCTTGAGTTTTGGATGCTTCACAAGAGTGAGGGGAAACTTGCCCAGCGCACAGGGGCTTGTTCTGCCACGGCGTCCCCAGGCCACCCCTTGACCTCGCACACAGCTGGGCAGAGCTGCTGGTAGCTGCCGTGCGAAGTTCTTGACCACTTTCTAGTCCCAGCAAAGCTGTGAGGAGCTCTGGGAACTTGGGATAGATTCCCCTGCATGTATCTGCATCACCCTGATGGGCAGCGCTTGCAGGAGAGGAGCTTTTCCTGCTCTTCCCCATTCCCAAAATGCATTTTCTTTCTTCCAGAACGATTCGGTTGTTGCCGGCGGTGGTGCAATAGAGATGGAGCTTTCCAAATACCTCCGGGACTACTCCAGGACCATTCCAGGGAAGCAGCAGCTGCTGATAGGTGCTTACGCAAAAGCCCTCGAGATCATTCCCCGCCAGCTCTGTGACAACGCCGGCTTCGATGCCACCAACATCCTGAACAAGCTCCGGGCCAAGCACGCCCAGGTGGGTGCCTCCCTGAACCGAGAATGGGGCCGTGTGCGATTTTTACTCCTCTCTTTGATGGACCCGGTGTAATTCGGCTCAGCCCGGTTGTTCTCTCGCGTCCTCTTTGATTCAACGCCGTGTTTTGTTTTCAGACCGAGCGTGGGCTGGATGTGGGTTTCTATAAAAGGAAAGGATCTGTTTGATCGCAGCTGTCGGGTGACTTCTAGAGCTGGGAGTTTTGATTTGCTTTTTCAAAACGCATCATTTGTCAAGAGGGAGGCTTCTATATTAAACATTAAAGTCATCAGAGTGTGGAAGTTGGCCATACCCTGTGTTTTCAGAGGATTTGCAGACTGGAGGTCCTGATTGCGATCGTGTGGGATCTCGCAGAGCGTGCGTGCACACGCAGTCCTAATTCAGGCAGTTGAAGTCGCCCCTTGGTTTCCTTTGGAAGCAGCTACCACTCTGGGGGGTCATCCCTGCCACGTTTCATCCCGCTGACGGTTTTGGGGTGCAAGGAAATGCCCCAGAATGAGCGGCTGCATCTTGGGCTGCAGAAATACCTGGGGTTGTGGGTCAGGGGATGAGAAAGCAGTGGGGAGGAAGTCAGTCCTGCAAATCTCCTACAGCTTCCTTATGAAATGGAGCACACTTTGCTCTCACTGTTTGCTGACAACGAAGCCTTTTTGGGATTTTGATTTGTGTTTCCCTCAAATATTTCCCCTTTACACAGCCAGGTCCTCTCCCTGAGCCTGTCCCTGTCTCTGCTTCCCGAAATCCTGCCCAGCCCCAATAACTCACCCATTTTCCCCCATCTCCCCGCAGGGCGGCATGTGGTACGGCGTGGACGTGAACAACGAGGACATCGCCGAT